ACACATCTGCTCTGAGTTGTGTACCAGATCTAAAGTGTGACTAGCTACATGTCCAAATGATGATCTGGTACAAGCCTACAGTGTCATGGTCACCATGAAATCCTAAGCTACCTGTGATCACTTCTAACAATCTGGATGAATCGACAGCTATTCCTGCAATGAGACTGAGTAACTCGGTGAGGGATGCTACCATGCAGCTGGAAAAACAGTATAATAGCAGCACTCCCAGCATGTCCCTTTTGTCCAGCATCATGAGCAAGGCTTCACATCTGGCCACCTATAAGAACAGTGCTTCTTGCAACTGCTAAGGTATCCCTGTGTACAATTGCCACACTACCTCCTCTACCCCCGGAGTCAGGACTGATGCAAAATCTTGTCTGGACAGATTTCCATGACAGGAAACCCCCTCCCACTTTTCATTCAGGCAAGTCTTAGTAATATATGCTAGGTCTGTCCTTTCTTCCATGGTTGAGTTGTGAATGAAGCTAGTTTCTTTCAAACAGTATATCCATGTATCCTACAATTCTTCCTTCTGAACTGCTTTCCATAAAGTTTTCAGATAAATACAAAATGTTTCAAGAAGCTAGCAACTGCAGTTTTATTCAACTTGTTCTACTATGTTTGTTCCTCTAAACTAGCCTTCCCATTCTGTTGTCTGACTTCCAAAGACTATGTTTTGTGGAAATTATTTGAATTCAGATTACATATCTGGTTGGAGAAGGGTGCTTTTAATTAAGTTCCAATGTAACACTGGCTGTATATACAGAACATGTTACGTCAAGGCTTGCCTAACCATGATTTACTGAATAAATCATAATTAGCTGGATGCACACACAGCATGCTTAATCACAATCTTTATTTTAGAAATGATACACATATTAAACCAAAGACAAGCTAGCCATATTTAGTTTACCATGAACAATAAACTCATCTACTCCCTTTGTTTTTATAGAAACCTACGTCCATTTTTAATTCTGGCAATGATGAAAAACACTTGTTCTGAATCAGATTCAGGCAATAGTTACAGTTAATACTTATTTATATTAAATTAACTTCCTTAAGACTAAGACTTCCTTAAGGAAGCTTCTTTATTTATTCTTATCTGCTTATTTATACTTTAAATATTAACATTTTAAAATATGCATGTATGTGTTTAACATATTGTTGTTTTCTGGAGTGATATGATTATTTCTACCACGTATTACAAAGATGTCTTTATCTGACTGGTCTCTTTTGAAAAGGAATTATGCCCTTTTATTCTTTAAACTCTTGATTTTGTTAAGGGAATTTAAAAAACATGGAAAAAGCCTGAAAAACGATATTGATAAATCGTTTAATGCTTACCGTATTGTTGAATTTTAAATCTACAGCTACATTTGGTTTATATAGGTATTTGGGCTGGTGCTAGAGGTACAATGTTACTGATATTTACACAAAATTTAAAGAAATAAATAATAAAGGCTAATTACACATTTTGACAACAAACATTTCTGGGATATAAGCCAAATATGATAGCTAAGTTCTGGACTGAGAGCAACAAAGAATTCACACATTAAATATCTATAAATATGCTAATATTTCTGGGAAAACATGAGTAAATATACTGATATTTAGTTCTATACTGTTGCTTGTACTTAAAACATTTAATTTTTAAAATAATATTTTTATTGGAGTTTTACATAGTTAAAAGCTAATACAGAATTAGAAAAAATATACAAACAAAAAAGAAGAGAATGAGAGGAAAAAAAAGAAAAAAGACATAAAAAGTGACTTCCCCCTCCCTCCAAATAAGTATTTACAGTAACTTAACACTTTCTCTAATATTACAGAAAAAAACCCTCTTCTCATTCCTCATCACTAAACAATAACCAAATTATAGAAAGATTCATCGATCAGAATTACTCAGCAAACGCATTAAGAGTACCAGCAGTAATAACCTATAAGTTTTAAGTTTAGACGAATAAATCTATTTTGCATTTTGACTTATAACTTTCTCTAATAAGACACACAAGATTTATCCCCATAGGTATAAAGAATATTAATAATAGTAACACATATATTTTAAACTAGATCCAATAGGTCCCTTTTACATTCTAAGCCATAACTTTCTCTAACAAGTAGTAGGTAAAATATTTATCCCCATGTGAAAAAAATCTTTACATCGTCTTGCAATCCTGGTAAAAGAAAAGATTCCAATAATAACCCAAATCAAAATGTATACAATTTAACCCTGGTCAAATAAGTCCACTTTGAACTCCTTGGTCTTCTTTTTAAGATGCTTAATCTTCAGTCACTTTTCAAATAAAATCCCACATAGTAATTTATCATTTTCTCCCTATTTTCACTAGCAACTTCAGAGATTTAGTGCTTTCCCTTTCTGTGGATCCAAAATAAGATAACTCTCCAAGTCATTCTTCTGATTTATAATGAGGATATCCCCTTTAATTGTTAAAACATCAGCCAGCATAGTTTGTATATCCATTACAACTTCTTTCTCCATGTCACTCTCATAGTGAAACATTTTTAAGTCCATTTTCAAATCCACAATATATTTTGGCATATCTTCCATATCTCTGTTATAGTCTGGCAATTCTTTAAACTCCAATTTAAAATCCCTATTCAAATTATCCTCAGCTTCTGTTTTATCCAGCAGAATCTTGTCTTCTTCCATAACCTCTATTAGATCCAATTTTAAAAATAAGCCCTGACCACATTGTTCCCAAACAGATTTAAATTCTTCTATAGTAAAACAATGTTCCTCCAGTACTTCCTCTTTTAATTGCTCTCTGATTCCCTCTGGTTAACCTTCAAAGCCCAGTCTTCTCTTTTATTTTCAGAGCTAAAACTTTCCCACAATAAGTTTTCTTACAGTTAATTCCAAAATAATCTGTATTTTTATAAAATTTGAAACAATCCATTAAAAACTATTCTTTCACTTCCATCTGGCCCCTTAACTGTCCAGAATCAACATTCTTAACTCCCTTTTGCTGTTTTCCAGAAGTTAAATTTTTTTTTTTAACCTTTACACTTAAATATTCTTTCTTCCAAGATACAAGGAAATTCTCCTGGTGTACAGCAACTTGCTTTTCAGGAGGTTTTTAGTTTCCAAGTAAATCACTAATAAGTAATTGCTGATGTTAATTAAAAGAGGAAATGAAAGTAAATCTAGTCTCTCTTTGGAGGCTCTGAACCATGGCTCGGGCTCCATGTCTCCCACGACTCCCAGAGTGCACAATCCAGTGGAGATTGCTAAATTGTGATCTCATCACACGGAGCCTCTGTAGGGGATACTCGTGGGTGATTTGGTCATCTCCTTTGTGCAGAGATGGTTCTGAGGGCCGGACTTTTTGCTGGCTCCTCTTAACTGCTGCAGTTGTCGTCTCCACGGAAACAGAGCCATCTTTAATCCTCCATTTCTCCCCCAGAAGTTCTACTTAAAACATTTCAGAATCTACCATTTATATGGACTTGATTACCTTAATTCTTGGGGGTTGAGGGGGGGGTTGTATTCAAGGAGCTTTCTTATGTTGATGTAACTTCTGATTTCCAAATCAGAATTCACCTTTAGTAAACTTGCTCCAAAAAATCCCAATATAATTCTATTAAGTGTAGTATTCCTTCTGAATTAGCAATTACACAATCCCTCTTCTTAAACTATTCTCAATAGTAGCATTAGTTGACTCTACCAATTGCTCCTGCTGGGGAAAGGAACATTTGGATGGAAGGTGCTTGTTGCATGGTTCTGCTAATGATCAATGACTGTCTTTTTTTCTATTGATTCTCAGGCTACAAGGAAATTGATCCTGGAGTTGGGTGAGGGAGGAGGGACAGAGAGAATTAAAACTTAACAGCTTTTGCCAGAGGACAGGTTGAACATGAGAGCTTGATAGCCAGATAGTATGAAATAAAGGATTAAATGACAGTTCAGCTAAATGCTAAATCATAACTGTTAAAATGAACTCATATACTCCCTCCTCTGGCACAACAGTGAAAGAACTTTGAATTTTTTGTATTCACTGTATATAAATCAAAGTTTGTTATACTGTCTGAAATGAAGCAAACAATGGTTAGTTTTAGCAATTAATAGTTAATCCAGACAAGCTAACTTGAAAATAGCTTTTAAATTCTTTTAACTTGTTAAGATCAATCAGTTTATGATTCAAATGAGACAAAATGCAGCTAATATACAACAAAACTAGTATGTAATTTGAATGGTTATAATACTAATCTTAACTATTAATTCTCCAAATAATAATATGGGAACAGGCTTAATTGTACACTATATCTAAGTTCTTACCCAAAGGGCAAAGTTCTGAACCTAGGGCAGTTTGAATTGATGAATGAAATAACTTAGCACAGTATAGGCATTATCTATCTATCTATCTATCTATCTATCTATCTATCTATCTATCTATCTATCTATCTATCTATCTAT